TTTTTCTCATAACTAAAACTAGTAAATATTTTAAGTGTATTTGAAAAACTAATTTGTAGTAAACTATATATGTAATAAACTAGCTATGATGCTGAAGAAATTCCCAAAATCACTATTTTCTTTAGGTGAGCACCTTTCATGTATTAAAGAAAAAAGAACTACAAAATGCCCTGGGCCTCACTTTAAATGCATTCAGATATTTTTTAATACTGTTATATCAAAAGTTTCATCTGTAAATTCACCATTGAAGGTGATGTGGAAAAAGGTAATAGTAAGTAAGTGATTGATACAAGTGAGTGTATGACTCATAGTTTGCAAAGGAAAATGATTTTTGGGAAAAGGCTCGGGAAGAAGAAAAGCAAATAATGGATTATGGATGAAATGAAGACCTTTCCTGTCTAAGGACTGTCACCAGTTCTTTATTCCTTGAAGATTAAGGGAATGGTGAATAAAGCTGTCTACCAGACAGCAGAAAAGGTAAGAAATAACATTGTCTCGAAGTGTACCTCACAAGAAAGTTTTCAGAAATAACATTGATAAAATTAAACTTTCTATAAAAGTTTACTAGAAAACCCAACTCAAATCAGAACAAGGAAAATATCAAAATAAACCAACATTACATTTGTCAGGTACTTGCACAGAATGAAACAGCAGTGTAGGTCAAGTTGTAGAATCATCTAATTTTATTCCACTTGGTTTGAGGAAAAAGTTGGATACTATACTGATTTGCTAAAAGATGTAGCACAGTTTGTTTCTGTTTGCTTTTCTAGTCAGTGGGTTAGTACAAAATAAGCATTTGGTTTCGTTACTAGGGTTCAATAAATTAATACAACGTACTTTGGTATTTAGTTTCAGAAGTCAAGTTCAAGCTGCTGAATTCAGTTCCAATTTTTACTAACTGCCCTACCCTTTCATACACACACACACACACACACACACACACACACACACACACACGTATATATATACATGCATATATACATATTTAAGTATATATATATACACACATACATATATATACATACACACATATATGTAGGCATATGTGCATATATAGGTGTATATATGTATTTGTAGGTGTATATGTGTATACATCCATATGTACATTTATGTATGTATATATACAAACACACTAAAATATATCATACATATTTCAATATACTTTTTTTAAAATTCATAGTTATGTATGGATTTTAATTTTTATCCCCGCTTTATGGATCTTTTCAAAAACAACAAGAGAATTTCATTTTGATGAAGTCATATTGAACATGAAATTTTATCCAATTTAATATTTTAATTTACATTTTCATGCATATTTGGAGATTTGGAGTCCCACTACATGACAGCATTGAGCTAAATACTTTGTACACATAAACTTATTTAAGAATACTGGGTATAGCTGGGTGCAGAGGTTCACACCCGCAGGATCAGCTACTCAGAAGGCTGAGACAGGAAGGATCACCTAAACCCAGGAGTTTCAGACTGCAGTGAATTATGATCACACCACTGTACTTCAGCCTCAGTGAGAGAGACAGATTCTCTCTCTAGAACAACTAAAATTTTAAAAATTTTTAAAAAGAATGCTACTTTTTTTTGTTATATGTATAATGCCTGAGGAAAAGATAACAATATTTTTATGAAGCAACCCATATCATATCACCGATGGATTTTTTATGAACAGCATCCAGCCACGGTAGTACACCTTATGCATATAGCTTAAATTTAGCTCATGAAAACTGTCTAATCCAACATGAAAGTATCAGAAAAAAGAAAAGCTGGGTGTGTGCACACATGCACATGCTTCCTAGACAAGAACTTCAAACCCAAGCAATCCAGTTCCAGAATCTTTGCTCTTAACCATTACGCTATATGTTGGAAAAAAGAAGAAAGGTGTGACATAAAAGTAACTGATTTAGATAAAAACAGTAGCTTCTAGAATAAGGGATCACATTTCTGAAGTCAGTACATTAAGAAATATAAGAATGACATTATCTTTAAAAATTGAAGACAATTGGCCGGACGCAGTAGCTCAAGCCTGTAATCCCAGCACTTTGGGAGGCGGAGGCGGGTGGATCACGAGGTCAAGAGATCGAGACCATCCTGGTCAACATGGTGAAACCCCGTCTCTACTAAAAATACAAAAAATTGGCTGGGCATGGTGGCACGTGCCTGTAATCCCAGCTACTCAGGAGGTTGAGGCAGGAGAATTGCCTGAACCCAGGAGGCAGAGGTTGCGGTGAGCCGAGATCGCGCCATTGCACTCCAGCCTGGATAACAAGAGTGAAACTCCGTCTCAAAAAAAAAAAAAAAAAATTGAAGACAATTTACAATACTTTCTTCTCTTGTGAATATACATCTCAGAAAGTTTCTAGCTTTTTCTTTTTGAATATTATATCACTTTACATTTTTAAAGAGATCACACTTTATCTAATTTAATTAGATCTTATCTAATTTAATCTAAATTAAATATTTAAATTATGATCTAAGGTCATAGTCTAAGATCCTATTCAGTCCTGTAATCCTCTCTGTCAGTAAAGAGAAAAAGACTTATGTTAAGAAATTGGCTTAGGAAATTGTGGAGCACTGATATATTCAAAATCAGCAGAGTTGTGTGTGTATACATGCATATATATATAAATATCTGTGTGTGTGTGTGTGTGTGTGTGTGTGTATGTATGTATGTATGCATGCTAGGGTATATGTGTGTATATATATGTATACACACACACACACACCCCTGTATATATATATATATATATATATATATATACACATACACACACAAGATTTACCCTTGAACACCACAGGTTTGAACTCTGAAAGTCCATTTATTTGTGGATTTTCTTCAGCCTCTGCCACTCCTGCAACAGCAAGACCAATCCCTCCTCCTCTTCCTCAGTCTATTCAACAAGAAGACAAGGATGAAGACTTTCATGATGACCTACTTCCACTTAATAAATAGTAAATATATTTTATCTTATGATTGTAATACATTTTGTTTTCTCTAGCTTACTTTATTGTGAGAATACAGTATATAATATAAACAGCATATAAAATATGCTGTTTATAGCTGGACGCAGTGGCTAATGCCTGTAATCCCAGCACTTTGGGAGGCTGAGGCAGCCAGATCACTTGAGGTCAGGAGTTCAAGACCAGCCTGACCAACATAGAGAAACCCCATCTCTACTAAAAATACAAAATTAGCCAGGTGTGGTGGTGCATGCCTGTAATCCCAGATACTCCAGAGACTGATGCAGAACAATTACTTGAACCCAGGAGGTGGAGGCTGCAGTGAGCCAAGATGGCGCCACTACACTCTAGTCTGGGCAACAAGAGAGAAACTCTGTCTTAAAAAAAATATGTGTTTATATTTTCGGTGAGGTTTCTGTTCAACAGTAGGTTATTAGCAATTTTTTGGAGAGTCAAAAGTTATATATGCGTTTTCAACTGTGTAGGGGTTAACACCCCAAATTCCCACATTGTTCAAGGGTCAACTGTCTGTTGGTTTTGTTTCTCTGGAGAACTCTAGTACTTCAGGGTAGTTGAAAATTAAGGCTTAGAAAACAGGGAACAGGAATTCTTATTCATATCTTTGTCTCCAGTCATTCCTGAAAGAATTATAAAATAAAATTCTGAAGAAGCTCTGCTGAATTCAGTTTTCATACACTAACCACTCAGTCAGTATAATGTTATTTTTCTTTTAAAACTGTTATTTGACAAAACTAATCAACTCTGAGGAACAGTCACAGCCTCAAAAAGTTAAACATAGAGGAATTCCACTCCTAGATATATATACCCAAGAAAACTGAAAACATATGTCCATACCAAAACTTACAAGGCCAGGCCTGGTGGCTCATACCTGTAATTCCAGCACTTTGGGAGGCCAAGGCAGGAGGACCACCTGAGGTCAGGAGTTCAAGACCAGCCTGGCCAACATGGTGAAACCCCATCTCAACTAAAAATACAAAAATTAGCTGGGCATGGTGGCATGCGCCTGTTGTCTCAGCTACTCGGGAGGCTCGGCAGGAGAATCAGTTGAACCAGGGACGCAGAGGTTGCAGTGAGACAAGATCATGCCACTACACTCCAGCCTGGGTGACAGAGCAAGAGTCTACCTCAAAAAAAAAAAAAGGAAAAAGAAAAAGAAAAAAAGGAAAGAAAAGAAAACTTGTATAAGAATATCCATAGTAGAATTACTTACAATAGCCACAAAATAAAAACAATATAAATGCCCATTAATTAGTAAATGGATAAACAAAATGTGGCATATCCATACAATGCAATGATTTGGCAATACAAAAAAACCAAGTACATATACATGCAATACCATGGAAGAACCTTGAAAATATGCTGAGTAAAAGAAGGCAAATAAAAAAGAGGACGTATCTATGATTCAATTTAAATAAAATGTCTAGAATAAGCAAATCCACAGAGACAAAAAAACAGATGAGTGGTTGTCAGGGGTTGGGTGAAGGATGTCACTGGGGTGTGAACACTAATGGGTATGGGGTTTCCTACTAGAGTGACAAACACATTCCTCAATTAAATAGTGGTCATAAGCTTATGAATACAAATTCTCCTCAACTTACAAGGGGGTTATGTCCTGACAAACCCTTCATTAGTTGAAAATACCATGAGTCAAAAATGAATTTAGATACTTAACCTATCAAACATCATAGCTTAGCCCAACCTACCTTAAACATGCTCAGAACACTTACCCTACAGTTAGGCAAAATCATCTAACTCAAAGCCTATTTTATAATAAAGTTATTGACTATCTCATGTAATTTGTATGAATATTGTAATGAAAGTGAAAAACAGCATGGTGGTATGGTACTCAAAAGTACAATTTCTACTAAATGTGTATCACTTTCACATCAACCATCAAAATTTGGGGTTTATCTGTATACTAAAAAGGCCACTGAATTGTATATCTTGAAATAATGAATGCGAAGTTTATCTCAACAAAAAAAGTGTTAAAAAATTAAAAATCAACTCACCTGTCCTTTTTGCGGTGACAAACAATGAACAACTTCATCCACCATTACTGGAATATGTAATTTAACCATAGTTTCAAAATTTCTGTCTTGAGATTTGTATAACTCCTGGGCTTGAGTTTGATCTGTTTGCTCATGGGCTTCATATACTTTATAGTTTTCTTCTGTAGTATGTATTCTTTTTGGCCAAATAGCTAAATTAGGTATGCCAGATTCCAACCAACATGAAAGATATTCTTTATACATTCTACAAAAATATGGATACCGAAGCATTCTGTAGGTCAACAAATCTAGAAAAAAAAAAATTTTTAATGATTGGATTTTTTAAAAGAATGTTCTAATACTTGGGGAAAATCAAATTAATATGCAATATTTAGTGCATCAAAAAAATGAAAACTCATCATTTGAACATCTTAAGTAAAGATGACTAACCCTTCTTATACAGTATATACAAAGCAAGGAACATAAGAGGACCCAGAGACATAATTTAAACATTAAAAAATAGATTAGGACAACATTTTTATAAAATATACTTCTTTGAATTTTAATTAAGGCTAAAAAGTAGATTCAGTGAATTAAAATTGTTTATTTGAAAAGTAATCAGAATGACTGAATGGATTATAAGTATCATATTTTAGGTTTAGAAGGTCTTTTATTTTAAGCTCCTCTACTTGTCTTTCTCATAATGCTAAATTCTCATGATCAGAGACTATCCCTGGAAAAAGACTATGCATGCACATCAAAAAAAAAAAAAAGATAATCAGTCTATGAAAATCTTGCAGAATCATCATATTCTCTGATGAGATCTTCTCACCATACCCTGCATCAGTGGAGTGTATATCAGTTTAAACTATAACTGTATAAACACTCAACTGAGCATACTTTGGTATTTCATATCAACGTTTAATTATCTGTCCCCTGCTCCAAAAAAAAACAAATAATCCATACAGTCCTTGGATTTACCATACGTGCTCCTTTTCTTCAGCAATCCATAACTCTTTAAAATGCAGAAGAAAAAATGTATTTATGTAAATATATTAACAGGAGACCTTTTGAAAACATCGTGCATTTTACACCCAGTTAGTTTCAAGCAGTTTTTGATACTACCATAGTAAATACCCAGTTAACATTATTCTTTCCTCACTGGTTATTCGTTATTTAAGAATAAGACCCACACCTTTGTGTACAGAAAATAAGATGCACATTAGTGATTAATAATTGTTTCTCTGAAGAAAACGAATGAATTAATTCCAGACTCCACAGAATTAGCATTGCTATCAATTCTCACTTTGGGAAATTTCACCTATCTGACTGACCTCAACAAAAACCGTATGTTCTCAAAATACTACAAGAAGCATATTCCCACTTAAATATATCTCTCTTTCCTTTTGCAATAAAAAAAATTAAAAACATTGAAAAGCTGATCACATGTAATAAAACAGAAAGAAAAACAAATATAACATCAACAAGATGTTACCTTGAGAATACTGTTAACTTTATCAAAGCTGTAATCTACCAAATTACATGGTCAATGTGACACCGAAAAAAATGTGTGAGAAAAAAATGAGTGATCTAAGTAGATTTTTCTATGCTTGGCAGCAACAAAATAGCCAAATTATTAATTATGCCTAAAGTTTCTGGAAACTTATAAAAGTAAGCTGAACTACCCTCTGACTTACTGTTTCTAACAGTTTACAAAATAATAGCTAACATTTATTTAGCACTTACTAAGCACCACTTACTATTATAACCACACTACATGCACTACCTCATTGAATCCTTACCACAACTCTTGAAATATTATTGTTCCCATTTGATAGATGAGAAAAACAGATTAGTAATTTGCCAAAAGCCACATAGCTAGAGAGCTGTAAAGCTAAAAGTGTAACACAGTCTATCCCCAGAGCCTGAACTAAATCTCCATGCTATAAACATAGTCCACTGGAACTATTTAATGCATTTATGTAATTTAACAATACTTCAATTACATTTACTATATATTTGCAATATCTCGTAAATTCGATCCATTTTATTAGGGAATCGACATCCTATGGCTTGGGTCTGCTCCACTTAAAAATAACAGTATGCTGCAGAGTTCCCAGTAAATGAACATATAATGCATAGGCCTAAAAAGTGAAATCTGGAATATTTAAACAACCTATGCTGTATGTCTAGATTTTGACAATTAAAAAGTAGTATCATCAATTCTAAAATAGGAATAACAACCATACAGAAAAAAGAGTAACAGAAAAAAAAAAAAAACTATCACTTGCATTTAATTTTTTTCTACTGCATTCAGCTTCTATGTGTTTATTCAACTATGGTCAAGCCACAGAGCCTGAATATTTTATTATGAACTAATTGGCTGCCGATTTGGGTCAACCTGGAGAAAGGGTGACAAACAGTTCGTTTTCCTTTTGTTGCCTTCAATACCTCCCCCCAAAATGGAAGGGAATTATCTTCTTCTCTTTTGGAGCCCAGTTTCCTACCAGACAACTCAGAGCTCTCCTGAAGTCTTCCAGGAGTCAGCCACCCTAAATGATTTAAAATTAAGTTCCCTCTGGTTATAGGAAGGAGGCAAGGAGTCAGGAAAGCTCTCTCCGTGCTGTCCTAGCTGAGTCATTTAACTTTTCTTTACAAGCAAAGTTCACTTTTGTCTGTTGAGAGCACAAAATTGGCCAGGTTACCGTTTTAATTGTGAAAACACACAGCTGAGTAATGCCCATGAAGCCTACTCCCTCAAGGGCGCTAACAATTATAATCATCGCAGTCAGCTTTCTCTCGCAGGGAAATCTTGTTAGAAAACGTAATGTTTAAGGACAAAACCGCGACGTGGAAGCTGGCATACGAACGCTGAGAAAGTGAAAGAGGTTCTCAGGAAAGAGAAAAATACACTCTTTTGCCTAAGAATTACCCTCTTATGAGAAAAAACTACTCGGAAACTTCCAAACTCAGGTTGAAGGCGTGTTGAAGAGAGCGGACACAGGGGCTTATACATCCTTTGCTCTGGGCGAATCCAGCGACCCCTGGGAGGACTCCCAAATGTTTTGTGGTTTCCAAAAAGAGTTCCCGGGACTCGGTCACCTTCTCCTCACCTGAGGCACGAAGACTTCTTAGTTGGCCTCCAACTTGGGCCAGTGACTACCACTACGGTGCTGGCGAACCTGAATTTGTCGCACGTCTAGGTCGTAACCCTGGGGGAAACTTGCAAGGACGGACAGCTTGGGTCCACGTCCGCCCCAGCAACTGACGACCGTCCGCCTTTGGTTCCGCTGCTTCCAGCCTCCGCTGCCAAAAGTCCTGTTGGCGCTGGGATTTCCAAACGACTTCCCTGGGGGAAATAAATAAGACCTCACTATTGCCATGTTTAAACTCACTTTTACTTTTTTCATTTTTTTTATTTTCATTTTTTGGTCTGAAACAACTTTCAATCTAACTTTTAATTTATCCTTATCTCTTCGGTTTACAATGAATGTATATCAAATTTGTGTTCTCATAAAACTGCAGTTTTGTTTTTTTTTTTTTAACTAAAAGTGGGAATTTCTGTCTCATTAGCTCTGTTTAGAAATTACAAGTTGCAAGGCGGCACAGTGGTGGCATTGATTGTAATGTCAAAATCTCTCTGCTTGAACCAAATATGCAATTCCTTTAAAATACAGACCTCATCATCTGAACACTGCTAAATGGCAAGTGTGTAACACTGAATTTGAAATCTAAAGTACTTGGATTAGGTGTGAAAACATCTGTGGCACTAATAAACCTTATACAATCTGGGCATCAAAAAAGACAAAATTTAAAACACTTCTATTCTTCACCAATGATCCATGCAATTTTACAAACAACTGGCAAAATACACATGTTTTCAAACTGGATTAAGATAGTCTCTTAATGTCACTTAATCCAGAAAGTATTGCAGAGACAAATGACTCAATTCTGAATTTCCTTGCCTGTATAGTTCAAGACAAACTTTTGTGTCAGTGATTTTCTGAAAACTTCAGTTTTCTCTCAGAAAAATGAAGATAACAGTATCTACATCTCATGGGCTGTTTTGAGAATTAAATGAGAGACCGTATGTAAAGTGACTAATAAAATACCTGGGAAGTCATAAGGTAAAGTATTATGCAATGAGTGCTTATTGGAAATAAAATAAAGGCATCTTGATTTTATTACCAATCCCAGCAGCACACAAATAACCATTTCATTAGCTAAGATATACATAATACAGCCAAATATAAGTAGTAGCTTTATTGATCCTCTGCCTAGTGATCAGAAACAATCATATGGCATGCATCATATAAAATACACAATATTCCCGATTTTCCTCAACAGGAAATAGATGTCCATAATATGGCGGTTTCCATATATTGTTGCACTTATAATATTCTGCATGGGTATGAGTCATCCTATTTATAAAGTGATATTGAATCAACAGAATATAAGCTCCAAGAGGAAAGAGTTTGATTCTACTGTATACTACTGTGTGTCTAAAATCTGAATAAATATTGAATGGATACAAAAACGGAAATATATAGAACAACAATGAAATTCAGATACTATCATTAAAAATAACCTGCCAAATAACGATGTTATTTTAGCAAACATACTTCCCATTTGTTCCAGTTATTTTCTCTCTTCTCAAAGTGTATGTTCTGAAATAATACCTACAACCTGGGACTTAAAAAAAAAATCACTTCACCTAATAACAAACCAAGCCAAAATCTATAAATAAATTTATTTTGCTATGGCATCATTAGAGAATGTAAAAAGCAACCAGAAAGCATAAGTTTCACAGTCAGTACTAATGGGAGTAAGCTTGGAAGTCCTGAGAAATGAAGCCTGAGGCCTCAACCCGAAAGATCTCCAATTAATTCAGCTAAAGAGACCCCACATTTTGGCCCAGAGGAATGTGTCTGGAAGAAACAGGTCCCTACAACTTCTTGGAGGCCTCGCTACTCCGAGAAAAGAAAAGAAACACCCAGAACCCATTAATCCACACCCAAACTCCACCTCTCCCCCTAGCACAGGGCATAGGCCAACCCCTGCCCGCACCAGTCTCACTCACACCCTGAACTCTGGGACCAGGCCCTGCACCCGCCGGTCCAGAGGTGGCCTGATGATCTCAGGTGGCTGCCTCCCACCAGCAGTTCCGGCCTAGCCCCGCCCACCTTGGCCACCGCCTCCGGAAACGGCCGCGCGCGTTGCCATGGTGACAAGCAAGCGAGGCCGCTTCCCCTGCGCCGCGAAGCTGAGCTTCTCCGCGCCCAGCTGCCGCGAACCGTGACAGCGTCCGACGTGATGACATCACAAGGGCGGCAGCCAATGAAACGAGGCGCTGAGGAAGCTGGCTTGGGTTTGAATATTGTGGTTGAGTCTGAAGCGCAGGGAGGCGGACATTTAAGTGGTTGCGGGAACCTCGCCTGGGCCTGAGGTGAGTGAGGGGCACGGGACGGTAAAACCGGTCTCTGGGACACTCCTTTTCATGACCTGTTTCATTGGTAACAGAGGTCCTGCCGCTTCAGGTCTAGAAGACCAGGTGGGTTTCTTGACAGACAGGAAAGGGTTGCGGTGTGGGGGATCAGGGTCCCTGAGGACAAAGTGAAGGGAAAAAGGGATCGAGAACTGCTAAGAGCGCAGCTCTGCTTGACCGTAACCCTCGACTGCTCAGCTGGAAGGGCAGGGATCTCCTTCCTTAAATTCTGAGAGGAAGTCGTCAGTTTTAAAGGGTATCTTGGCCCCTTTCCCAGACCTTAGCAGAGAACTTTAACTGTTCAGCATCTTGCAGTGTGAACTTTTTTTCCGGGACTCCAAATTCGAAGTGTTTTGTTTCATACGCACACGTAAGCGCACCCCTGGGCTTACCTTTCAAACGAGGAGCTTTTGTTCATCATCGTATAAAACTTTTGTCTTAGGAGCTTCAACTGTTAGCTTTGCACTGGTTCGCCCGGGAACGCCTCCCGAGCCCCAGTTGTAGGTAGCATTATAAGACCCGCTCTGACTGTCTAACGGGAGTGCCGAGGATCAGATGAGATGCGGAAGAGATACTGCTTGGCAAATTGTAAACACTTGAGAATCCATCCTGTAGCCTGTTCTTGGTTTCTGCAGGACTTTTTTTTTTTCCTTAGGAGCTCATTAGTCGCTCATTTACAGAGAAACCAAGACTGCTGTTTACTATATATGAGAAGAGATGATTTGACCAGAACGGACTAATTTTGTGGTATAACATATAGTTTAACTATGGAATAATTAGAAATTTAGGCACGCTACAGATTTTAATTGTGTCATTCCACCGTATCCAGCCTCCTGTTTTGTTTTTGGAAGGTTTTTGTGAACTTTGGTACTAGAGGATGTGAGATCCAATGACTAGATAATGCTTCTTTATTAAGTTCATATTATTTTGTAAGAACTGTCTATTTCAGTAAACAAAGATCATCTACAAAGCACAATCACAAAGAAAAAAACTTTAAAGATTATCTGCCTTTAATAGTAGTAATTAATCTCTTCTATTATTATTTATTTATTCATTTATTTGAGATTAAGTCTCACTCTGTGGCCCAGGCTGGAGGGCAGTTGGCGTGATCACAACTCACTGCAACTTCCACCTCCTGGGTTCAAGCATGCCTCAGCCTCCCTAGCAGCAGGGATTACAGGTATTTTGCCACCACACTCGCCTAATTTTTTTATCTTTGGTAGAGATGGGTTTCACTGTGTTGGCCAGGCTGGTCTCGAACTCCTGACCTCAAGCCATTCACCCGCTTCACCCTCCTAAAGTGCAGGAATTTCAGGCGTGAGGCATGACACCTGGCCCTTCCTTTTCTATTATTGAAAAGTATTTACAAATGCATAACATTTTTATATTAAAAGTGCATCTTGTCTCATCATAGAAATACCCCAAATCAATTAAGGGATACAATAAAAGTGACTTTTTGCTGACAACTGTGAAAACTAAAAAAAAGAAAAAATAACTCAGCTGTCAGTGCTGGCCTTCCCTCCAGTTGAACTTTTTATTCTTCCCTGATGGTTGTAAGTTAGTGGGAGTAGTGCCTCCAAGACTGATGCTATTTCAGAGAAAGCTTTGAGATAGATGAAGACTGGATAGGTTTTAATAATAATGGATATTATTAAAATGGAAATAATACTAGAACCTACCTTACGTGACTATTATAGGATTGAATGCAATGATGAATATCAAGTGTTTACCATAATGCCTTACACATAGAGTTTACATACTCAAGTAATAATGCTGAGTATCGTCTTCAATCCCATACCGTGTTAGTTGCATCTGAATCTAATTCAGGTTCGAATTTGTATTTAATAAATCATTACTGTCACTTTCCTTATGTATCATTGTTTGAAAGCATTCTCTTCTGATTCCAGTAGAACCTAGTTGTTAAGAACATGGACTTTGGATTTGTACCCATTAAGGAATTTGTGTTTTATTCTTCTGGTGAGAAGTCATTGGAGACTTTAGAGCAGGTGAATGCCATGTGATGCATAACATGATCTGAATGCTTTTGATGAAGGTGTCAGTGAATACAATGAATTAAATAAAATTTGTTATAGTACTTTCATAAAATTAGGGGTGAATCTTTAACCTAATTGACTTATGTTTGACATCTGGTTCCCCACTTGTTAACGTCATCTTGGAAAAGTTACTTATCCTAAGGCTAAGTTTTTGTTTTTGTAAAATGGAAATAATACTAGAACCTACGTTATGTGATTATTATAGGATTGAATGCAATGATGAATGTCAAGTGTTTACCATAATGCCTTACACATAGAGTGTACATACTCAAGTGATAAGCATTGTTTTTCATTATTAATAATTATCACCATATCAACCTAATCTAAGCATTGTCATATAAAAGCATACTTACTGAGCATAGCTACTGTGTGATATCTGACAAATACAGAGAAATCATAATCAGCTTTAACATTCATTCAAGAGCTTCTGTGCCAGGCCCTGAGGTTTCTGTCAAAAGTAAGCAAATATAAGAGAGTAGTACCAGAAACTGACTTTTTGGAGAAATGGAGAGATTTTTTTTTTTTTTTTTTTTTTTTTGAGACGGAGTTTCGCTCTTGTTACCCAGGCTGGAGTGCAATGGCGCGATCTCGGCTCACTGCAACCTCCGCCTCCTGGGCTCAGGCAATTCTCCTGCCTCAGCCTCCTGAGTAGCTGGGATTACAGGCACGTGCCACCATGCCCAGCTAATTTTTTGTATCTGGGGTTTCACCATGTTGACCAGGATGGTCTCGATCTCTCGACCTCGTGATCCACCCGCCTCAGCCTCCCAAAGTGCTGGGATTACAGGCTTGAGCCACCGCGCCCGGCTGAAATGGAGAGATTTTTATCAAAGGGTATACTTTAAGTTATAAGATAAATAAGTCCTTGGCATTTAATGTACAGCATGAATGGCGATAGATGTATTAATTGCGGTAATCATTACATAGAGTATAAGAATATGAGATCATCATATTGTACATCTTGATTATATACAATCTTTGCAATTAAATATTTTTAAATTTCCAAAATAAGCAATATATATATTTTTAACTTCTATAAGAAAATTTCTGAGGGTTATATATTTGCATCAGCGAGAGTAGTGATTAAGTACTTGACCTTTAGATTCAGTCTGTCTGAGTTCATATCTTATATCATGTGCTTCCTCAGTTGTGTGACTTTAGCCAGTTAATTTCTCTGTACTATACTTTCTCTCAATAAAATAGGAGTGACAGTACAGTATTTATGTCATAGGGTTGTTATGAGGATTTAATTAGAGTATGTCAATTGTTTAGCACATTTCTATTTGTGGGATACCAGCTCAATAGAAAATATAACTTATTGTTACCAAATGAACTGCTGTGATTAAGGTTAATTCTAGTAGCAGATATTGTTGTTGTTTGTCTGTTTTGAAATAAAAATACCTAGACCTTGTTTAAAATTTAAACAGTACAAAAGAGCATGAAATAGAAAATAAGCCTGTCTCTAACTCAAACCTTCCTATTTCCCTTCCATGGGGAAAGTGGTATTATCAATTTCTTGTGTACCCTTCTGGGAATGACCACACATACACACATAAATCTTCAAAAAATACAAATGATAACATTCTATAAGTCTAGCAAATCTGTATTAGTTTATTCATTCATTTATCCAACAAGTATATTGGGTCCTAAACATTTGACGAGCAGTGTTCTGGGTGCTGGGGTGCAGATGAACTTCATGCTCTCTCAGTGCTTACATTCTAGAAGGAAAACAAGCAATAAATATGTAACCAGATAATATATACTTTCCAGTTAGTACTAAATTTAAGGAAAAAAATAAACCTGGTAAGGGATTAGAGAGGCAAAGGCAGGGTGACACTTGTATAGATTCTTTAGGGAAAGCCTCTGTAAAGTGGTATTTGAACAGAGACTGGAATAATGAAGTGAGGGATTACAATTTGCAAGCATCTGGAGGTAGAACCTGCCAATAAGCAAAAATGCAAAAGCCAGGAGGCCAAAACAAGAGTGAAGTCTTTTAGGAATGCTAAGAAAGTCATTGCAGCTAAAGCAGAATAATTAAGTGGGGAGACAACAGTAGAAGGCATTGTCAGAGAGATAGGGCCATATGTGGAATTTACAGGCTATGGTAAGGAGTTTATATTTTATTCTTAGGGTGAGAAGTCATTGGATAGTTTAGAGCAGGTAAATGACATTCAATACATGATCTGAATGCTTTTCAAGAAATATCAGTGCATACAATCAATGAATTAAATAAAAGTTATTATTGTACTTACATATAATTAGGGGTCAATCTTTAATCTGGGATGAGCACTAGCTGTATATGTTATAAGTTAAAGATTGACGGCTGGGCACAGTGACTCGCGCCTGTAATCCTACCATTTTGGGAGGCCGAGGTGGGCGGATCTCCTGGGGTCAGGAGTTCAAGACCAGCCTGACCAACATAGAAAAACCCCATCTCTACTAAAAATACCAAAACTTAGCTGGACGTGGTGGTGCATGCCTGTAATGCCAGCTACTTGGGTGGCTTAGGCAGGAGAATTGCTCGAACCCAGGCGGTGGAGGTTGCGGTTAGCCAAGATCACACCATTGCACTCCAGTCTGGGCAACATGCTTGAAACTCTGTCTTAAAAAAAAAGAAAGATTGACCTGTTCACCTTTGTTTATTACC